GAAAAATACAACAGTTATGAGCACTCATCCACTTACCCGATCTAGTTAGAGTTTTATATACTGGGCAATCATACACACCATCATCAACCTTCTGTCTGTTAGATTCTGGAATGAGCCAAATTATAGGCATTTCGATGTAAAGCTCTTTGGGCCTAGATTCCATTAGGCACATTTCATCTGGGTTCCAACGACATCCCTCTAAGTATAAGCCATGGATATAACATCCATCTTTGGGTGCCTGTCGCAACACTCCGATGTCTTCTTTCATTATCTGCATTTAGGAAAATAGTTATAGTTACCCCATACCTTCTGATTAAATACGATTTTAACGTGAATATCTTACTTTGAAATTGAAGCTCACGGTATCCACGGCTACTGAGTATTTTCTTGCAAAGTTCTGCAACTGGCCAGTAAGAAAAGCCTGTGGGAAGAAGAACCCACTAATCCAAATAACGGGCGGTATTCCAACCTCATGCCAAGCTCTCAAGAAAGCTATCCTTTCACGAAGATCTTTAATCCACGGACCCAAGGCTTTCAAGCTAGGGTAAGCTTTGGCGTTCCATATTTCTGGAACTTGGTTAGTGAAGAGGGAGGTTGCCATAGCTTCGAGGGGTGCAGACATGACAACTAGACCTTTAATAGCTTTGATAAGTTCTTTAAGAGTCGAGCGGATTTTATCCAAGAGACTGTTGAATCTAGAAGGACAGAAGGGCTATGACACAACTCCAGGGGACTTACCTAATGGCTTCTTGAATCAGAACCGTGTTCATAGATTGCTCATACATAATAGGATGTTTGCGAATAATAGCAGATTCATCCAGCGATTGAGGACACTGGCCCAAGATTTGTGTGGCAACCTCCTCAATGATTGCTTCACGAGAATTACCGCCTTCTTGGGAAAGTGATGTATTCGGTTGGAGGAGTAGCAAATCAGCTAGTAATTGGTAGGTCTCATTTTGCGCAAACGTTATATTTGCATTGTCATGAAGACCGAATAAATCTGGCATATCATTTATTGGCAAGCTTTGAATATATCTCAAGTAGCCCTGAAAGAGTAACGATTGAAGTGTTTCAAACAGGGGGGGGGTAAATCAAATCCATGCTAATGACAGAAATTATAAGGTTTGCAGTTAGGTAAATTCTCATATCATATTTTTTAAACGTAGAATCATTGATTTAGGTCCGAAACGCAGAAAATTTGTTAGACAAAAAATAATTTATGTTAGCTTCCATGCTAATTAAATACACAAAAAGCAGATGTCTGGGAGACATAAATAAGAGATCGGTGCGGATGCCTTGTGGGACACGTTATCGCTCTGTGCGTCATCGTATGCCTGCATGTCTGCTCGTCAGGATTGGGAGGTGCGCCGTACAACTCTGTGTGCAGCGACCGTATAAACAGTGACCAATCATCAACCTCTGTTTAACCTAATCAGCCATCCTGATCATGATCAGGCCCCCTACGTGTACACTTTTTTCGCAGTATGGAGTAGCTCCCTGCGTGTACACTTGATCCGCAATATACGTTCCTGCGTGTGCACTTTATCCACAATATACTCTGTGTGTACACACTTGATCCGCAATATACGTCCTGAATAAGCGGGTACACTTGATCCGCAATATACGTCCTGAATAAACGTGTCCGTGCTACACGTCTGTTTCCTTCATAGCTGGGCTATAGTTTAGCTGGTTCTGGGAGTCTAGCTAGATGTAGGAGAATCTCCCTGGTTCTGGGAGTCTAGCTAGACGTTGGAGAATCTGCCGTTCTGGGAGTCTAGCTAGATGTAGGAGAATCTGCCACAGATATAAACGCGCTCCGTGCTACACGTCTGTTTTCTTTATAGCTGAGCTATAGCTTAGCTGTTCTCTAGCTAGAGGTTGGAGAATCTGCCATAGAGATTTCTGATTCCTAGCTAGATGTTGGAGAATCTGCCATAGAAATTTCTGAGCCGGTAGCTAGATGTTTGAGAATCTGCCATGGAGATTTCTGAGTCGGTCTAGATGTAGGAGAATCTGCCAAAGAGATTTCTGAGTCAGAGAATCTGCCATAGAGATTTCTGAGTCGGTTAGGCTTTACTATGGTAGCAATCCGCTACAGCCTACAGATCGGTCAAAGTGTTGTGGAGAGAACTTATAACTAGAAAAGGTCGTAAAATGATAAAAACGAAAAAAACATTGAAGACCAAATACGCGTGATTTAAGATGAATTGAAATAAAAATAATAAAAATGATCGACAGGAAATTTAATGACTTATACTGCTTGAAATGAAATAAAGTATTAGGTTGGCATCTAAGCCATTGCCAATTTCAAATAAGAAGACAAATTCGGAATTTTTTTTAAAAATATAACTTTATTCAATTAGATATTGGCCGTTCTTGTCGATTACCTTTTTCCATCGTTCTGGCAGAGTAAAAATTCCCCGTTCGTAAAATCTCTGGTCTTTGCTATTAAAAAACTGAATTAGGTGTGATCCGACATCATCCGCGTTGTTAAAAATTTTACCATTTAAAGAGTTTTGCATGGAACGAAACAAATGGTAATCCGAAGGCGCAAGGTCAGGGCTATATGGTGGGTGTGACAAAACATCCCAACCCAGTTCCAATAACTTTTGCCGAGTAACCAAAGATGTGTGGGGCCTTGCGTTATCATGATGGAAAACAACACCCTTCCGATTTGATAATGCCGGCCGCTTATCACCAATTGCATCCTTCACTTTTTCGAGTTCTTCAACATACACATTTGAATTTATCGTTTGGTTCTGCGGCATGAGTTCAAAATACAAAATTCCTTTGTGATCCCACCAGACTGACAGCATAATCTTTTTTTGCTGAATCTCTGCTTTTGATACTGTTTGGGCTGGTTGAGCTTGCTTCACCCATGATCTCTTGCGAGTAACATTGTTGACAGACTATCCACTTTTCGTCGCCAGTAACTAGGTTCTTCCTCGGAAATGGATCATTCTCATTGCGTTTCAGTTGCGAATCACAGATGCTAATCCGTTGCGGCAAATGAATTTCCTTTAACTGGTGAGGGATCCATAAATCAAGTTTCTTGACAAAACCAAGGGTTTTTAATTTTTTTCAATGCATGTATGCGACACATTGAGCTTCTCTGCAATATCTCGTGTTGTGCTGTGACGATTTGAATCGATAATGGCCTTGATATGGGTTTCATCCACTTCGACTGGGCGGCCAGATCGTTGTGAATTTTTCAGTGAAAAATCACCGGAACGAAATCTTTCAAACCAATTTCGACACTGCCTTTCTTTTAAGGCTTCATCTCCATATACAGCACATAACTTCTTTTGTGCTTGCGATGCGTACTTGCCTTTTCGGAAGTAATACAATAAAATGTGTCGGAAGTGCACGTCCTGTTCTTTCATTTTTAAATTGGGATAAAAACAAAACTAAAGAACTAAACAAAAAAAATTTTTACTAATTAACCTAGAAGCCCATACAGTAAGAAAAAATATAGGTTAGATGCTCTGGCCACGTTAACAAAACAAAAGAAAGTATAGAGTGAATCCGTCAACAAAAACGACAATGGCTTAGTTGCCAACCCAATAGAAAAATCAATGGAAATTAAAATCGACACCACGAAGAAAATAGGCAGAAAGCAAGTGACCGATTCAAACTATAATCGATCAACTGTAACTTCTACGGTTGAAATGTTAATCAGAGTGTAATCAAAGTGAAAGCTATCCTGTTTGTTGAAACATTAGTGAATTAGCAATTCGATCTTTAAAAGATACAATGGTTGCCACATGCAATGGGGTTTCTCGTACCGAGTGACCAAGATAGAAGAAGTCTCTTGGGAACACGGAAAGGTAGATAAATATTTTATTTTTTTTGCCTAAAAATAGTAAAGTCAGATTATTCCGAGTACCAACATACTAGACATTCAATAGTTCACAACGGGTGTTGAATTTCACTACACAATCCAATATGTCTATTTGATCTTGACTAAAGTTGTGGAAGAACATGAATGATAGGAGATATTCTTTCTGTAAGGATTTCCGATCATAAATGATTGACCGTTCTCTGCGAATAAATTATTTGCCCATTTTCCGTCAATGTAGCCAAGTTTGATCCCATCAACAACCTCACCTCAATAACACAAGTGACTTGACTATATATCGGAACTTGAGGTTATCAAAGTCTATGAGTCAGAATTACCAGGAATAAACAAGACAACCAATGATGATAAGTTAAGTCAGCGTTTTATGAGATGGAGAAACTGTTTTCCTAACTGCAACTTGGTGTAATATGGAACCACTACGGGCAAAAATAAAATAAAACGAAATAGAACAGAAAATAAAGGTAAAGTTTGAATAGACATAGGTCATTCTCCAACTCTTCACTAATACGGGGTCAGTTCAATAAAACCGACTAACCCAGTCA